AATTCAAATATTTATATTTTTTTATTAATATTTTAACAAAAGTTTAACGGATTGGATTACATTAGCTAACAGTCCGAAACACAGGGACCAAATTAGCCAAATTGAAAACATATGGACTAAATTGGCCAACGGGCTAAAACACAGGTACCATTTTAGCATTTAAGCCTAACAAAAAAATACATAGGGGACATAATGAGTCTAACACTTCAAAAACCTTGTATCTAATACCGCTATTAAAATAACATATATTTAAAATAATATATATTCAAAATAGTAATTTTCCAAATTAACATAATTGTTACTAGAATTCCCCAAAAAACAATAGGCCAATACAAAGGTGAAGGAAAAAGACCTCTGTAGAGTTGAGAAGAAGTAGCCTTGGAACTGGTGCAGCTGATCGATAAGAGTGTTGAGTTTTTTTCGGTTGGTTAGCCAGCCTAGTGGGGATTAGTTAATAAGATTGGCCTAGGCTAGGGTATTATTTTAGTTTTAAAAAAGACAAGTCTCTTGGGCTATAGCCCAGCTTAGCTTGTTAGGCCATCTCCAGCCATATGGCTAAATGTAGTCCATGACTAAAAATTTATCCCCCTAAAATATTAATTTTTTAAAGAATAGTGCAGGGCTAAATTTTTCCATTTCCAGCCATGCAGTGCTATATTTTAGGATCATTCATATTTTATTATTTTGAGAATGCTTTAAATAAGGCAAGTGGGGGAGTGCTTTAATATTTGGTTATTGAAAAGCACATGGTGAGGTCCACTATGAATTTGGCCTAGGCCAAAGCTGGGCTACATTTAGCCCGGTTGGAGGGCTAAAGGGCCAAATGTGGCATTTCAAATTTGGCCAAAATTTTATTTAGCCCATGACTGGAGATGAGTTTTGCACTAATTTAGAACTATATTTGAGATATAGCCCATGGCTAGAAATGGTCTTTGACGGCGAAGGCGCTCTCCTCGCTTAAATCGACGGCAATTGTGACCTTCCGCTGGTCCCCGTCGGAGGCTGTTGGGGCTGTGCTGGTTAGCGGGAAGCTCGAGGAGGAAGGTTGGATTTGTACAGACGGTGGTGGGTTCATTGTCGGCAATAACGGATTTTGGTACTAATTTGGCTACTTGGTGGGATGATATGCTATACTATTTGATGAATTTAAGTATCCACACAAAAAAGAAGAGGTTGATTTCTATTTTAATACGAAGAAGGTTCTGGTTTGGAAGTTGGAGAGTGTTGTTGCTTGCTTTGTCATGCAACCTTATTAAAATCAACAATGCTTCCTTGCAAGCATTAATTTATAATGGCTGTAAAGTCTCATGTCCATATCCACCCGACCCACTCACTATTTTGGTGTCGGATGACAAAGACGATATGCCTAGCGTACCCTAAAAAAGTATAAGAACTTGTGTGAAATGCGGATAGTACTATTTTGTTATTTTCGACCAATTACAATATGTCAAGTAAAAAAGTTATCATATGTGACATATCGTAAATGTCCACGCTTGAAGTGGTAACATGGGTGCTTGAGGAAGTAATGCACTAAAGAACCGAAAAAAGACATCACAACACTTCATTTCTGGTTTGAAACTCATGATAGTGATCGATTGGTAAGAATTTAATTTTGACAAAATCCCATTTTCATTATTGTGGAAGAGTTTGCAGGTTTTTGGTGTTATGGGGCCTGTGGCCCAGTAATAAGAAATAGCCGCTTCTAAATAGCCTGGCAAATCTTCTAACAGAGAATTCCTGAGACAATAATACCATGACCCTTTTTTTTTGGGTCTGAATAATACCACGACTCAGTAGCCCAGATCTATACTTAAAAGTTTACAAAGCTTGTCGGCAACAACATGAGATGAGACAACTTAAAATGGCCAGTCCAAACAACATGGAAATATAGCTAGGAGGCTGGCTTAAGAAGTTCAATTCCACCAACAAACTATTTAAAATGTTTAAATTTATTGATTTTCTCACATTTATTGATAGTAAGATTGAATCCTCAAATAAGCTGCTCACTCTAAACTCGTCATTATAGCTTTTCCGTGGCTTGAGGCACCAAATATCATCTCAAATTTTATGTTCGCTAATTTTTTGAGAAGATGCCAACATGTCAATAGTTCAATACTAAGAGCATTTGTGTGCATATCAGTAATCATATGTTGGAATCCCAATGACACCTTCCATTCACCCTTCCAAACTTTGACAACAAAAAAATAAATCAAATTTTTGGAAGGTAACATGAAAATTTATATGATTTGTCACATCATCATCATCATCATCAGTATGGTTGATTTATATTTAGGGGAATGATAGCAAATTTTTTTCTAAGAGCATCTCCAAGGGAGATGTCAAATATCAAACATCAAATTTAAATTTGATGGCTGATGTGGCAATTTAACATTTACATAGTTTTACACTCCACCCGATATGTCAAATAAATAATTATTGTAACAGTCAAATCATTTAAAATAAAGAAGAAAAAAAATATAAAAACGAAAATTATAAATGAAAGTAACAACCAACTATCTTTAAAAATAATAAAATATTCATTTGACATCTTGCTTTTGGGATGTCAAAAATAACATCTCAACCTCCAGCCTTCATTCCATATCAGCTTTGACACATCGGTTGGAGTGATGTGATATGTTATTTCTAACCGTTAAATGTCTATGTGGCACTTTTGACACATCGGTTGGAGATGCTCTAACATTCTCTTTTGGAACTTCTCCATTTTTCTAATGACATGTGTCATTTTCTTTACACTTAAAATAATGTTATTAATACTTGAGACAAACTAACTTTTGTTTTTCAAGCTTACCCTTATTAAATATAGGACCCCTTAAATATTGACTTTCATGTTTTCTTCAATAAATCCTTTTTTTTTTTTTTTACAATTTTTTTATGAGTAATGTTACACTTACCACATTTTTATCCCACATTTCTATACCACATGATGTGGCATGTCCATATCATATGCTACATCAATTAAATGAATGAAGTGTATTTTAATAAATAAATTAGAAAAACAGAAACTAGTATTTTACATGATGTGATATGTACACATCAGCTGCCACATCATGTGGTATGAAAATGTGTTATAAAAAATGTGGTAAGACTAGTATTATTCAAATGCAAATTCGCGTCGAAACGAACATGTATGAAAATGCCTGAGTCTTGGATGCATGTTGATGTTGAATTCGCTGGAATGATGTAGGTGTTCCAAGAATTGTTTTTACCATCTCATCCATTTCCGCCACCTAAAATTAATTTTTAGGTTGTTTCCTGCTAATTTATATATATATATATAAAGAAATTTCTGTTAAAAGACTAATTGTACAGCAATTGGATAAGTTTGATTTTTGTGTTCTTTTCTTTGGATTAATTGAAAGAAACATAAAAGTCAATACATTTAGTAAGAGTAAATTAGGGAAACAAAAGCTAGATTGTCTCAAGTATTAATGACATTGTTCTAAGTGTAAATAAAGTGACACATGTCATTAGGAAAATGGATAATGACTAAAAGAGAAGAGTTTTTTTATATATTTTATTTTATTTTTTTTAATTTTTAATAATCAAATAGAAACTTCATTAGATAAACTTCAACGGTACAATCAAATATGTCAACAAGACATCTAAAATGTCAATATCAAGAGGGCAACAAACTAACATGCTAAAAACACAACGAACGCGGACAAAAGCCGCATTAAAACTACTAGCCCACATCACCACAATTAACCATAAACCCAAACAAAGCCAACAAAGCCAACATAAACCCTAAAACAACTCATAAGCCTAAACGAACCCTACCACCACCATCTAATGGAACGCCGTCATGACCACACCCACCACTGCATCCGTAACAGATCTGGGGAAAATATTATTTCAAACGATTTTCCTGCACATAAAAACGAACAAATAAATGAAAACAACAACTTTGCCGAAGAACAATTGAGTGATTTGCTAGCATTCCCCTTATATTTATGCTGCATGTTTGTTAATAAATATCCCAAATTGATCATTCATATATACAAATTGCAAGAGACATTGACGCCCCAAAAGACCCATCAAAGATTATTAATTAAACCTCCCATGCTCCTGCAATGATGCACAAGTTAGTAGTGGTGGAGCACAATTTGCGCTCTCCTTATATTTATTTTTCTGCCACTATATTTCTGCCAACTAGCTAAAAAAGCTTGACCAGAGGTCAAGATAGAACCTAGCAACAAGCAGGGCTGCGATGAATGAGTCTTTATTATTGTACTTTTCCCTTCAAGTACTAAGGTTGGTTTCAACATTTATCACAAAAAAACAGATGAAATGAACGGCTGAGATTGCTTCCGTATGAACCCAACCAGTGATGATTTTCTATATGATGAACCGCCAGCCACAAGTTACATTGGTTCGAAAAATATTTGCCTCTGCTCGGAAAGGATACAAATTATTACAACCACTACCCAAATAAAATAAATTTTAAAAAAAAAAAACAGCGACAAAGCACAGATCTAGCAAAGAAAGTGATTTGTGTAGCCTTTTCAACACGGCAAAACAAAAGGAAAATCTGGCCAATGGGTCCGAGCTTCAAACTTTTTGTTCATCTGTTGATGGGTGGATAGTAGAATTGGTCATGACTGAATTCTTGTTGACCGTTGAAGAAGGAATATAAATTTGCTCAAACGTAAGTAAGGCGCGGCTCATTTCTATATTACCATAATAATGAAACAGTTGTAACGCAAATTGATTGACTTGGTCTATTGCGGCTGACAAAGCTACAAATTGCATCAAACTCTGTTCATACATAGTTTTGTGGTCCAATCTTACTGCATGGTTGGTTGACCACATGACCTGAGTTTCTCCAAAGGTGACAAAATTTTACTTGCAGACAGAAGAGTTTAGCATTGACTTGTTGCCACAAATGGGCACGACTTTGCCGCACAGCTGTCCAAGTCCAATCTCTACTAAATGACCAAAACCAGTATAATAGAAAATTCAACTCCTCTCTCTCTCTCTCTCTCTCTCTCTCTCCCCTTTCTTTGAAGTTTAAGTTCTTGGTGCAATACAGTATCTAGAACTTGTCTGCAAATTGGTTTTGTGCAGCCATGGATGCCAAAACCAAACAAAGTTTGGTGCTTTTGCTTTGCTTATGCTTACATCTCAAAACCCATGTTTGCCTTGCAGCTGACACCATCGCTGCAAACCGATCTCTCTCTGGTGATCAAACCATTGTCTCTGCGGGAAAGGTTTTTGAGCTGGGTTTCTTCAAACCAGGTAATTCTTCGAACTACTACATAGGCATGTGGTACTCTAAACAACTAGTATCTTTGGAGACCATTGTTTGGGTGGCAAATAGGGAAACACCAGTTTCTGATAGATTTTCTTCAGTCTTGAGGATCTCAGATGGTAATCTAGTTCTCTTTAATGAGTCCAACACTCCAATTTGGTCCACAAATTTAACCTCCACCACCACCTCAGGTTCTGCACAAGCAGTTCTTTTAGATAATGGAAACCTTGTCTTAAGAGCTAATGGGTCAAATGCTAGTACATCAGAGCCTTTGTGGCAAAGCTTTGATCATCCAGCTCATACATGGCTACCAGGAGCTAGAATTGGATTCAACACTGTCACCAATCAAACCTTAATTCTCACTTCATGGAAGAGTTCAGAGGATCCTGCACCAGGTCTTTTCACTCTTGAGCTTGACCCCAATGGAAGTAATGCATATCTCATATTTTGGAATAGGTCTAGACAGTATTGGAGCAGTGGAGCATGGGATGAAAAGTCACGTATTTTCAGCTGGGTTCCTGAGATGAGGCTTAACTATATCTACAATTTCAGCTATGTTACAAACAAAAACGAAAGTTATTTCACCTATTCTCTTTATAATCCCAAGACAATATCTCGATTCGTGATGCATACCTCAGGGCAGATTCAGCAACTCACATGGTTGGAGATTTCCAGCCAGTGGAATTTGTTTTGGAACCAACCAAGAAAGCAATGTGAAGTTTATGATTTATGCGGGGCATTCGGCAGTTGCAACGAGGTAAGCCCGGTCTCCTGTAATTGTTTGACAGGTTTTGAGCCAAAGTTGCAGAGGGATTGGAATTTGCAGGCTTATTCTGGTGGGTGTAAAAGAAAAACCCCTCTGCATTGTGAGAATGCTACTAGTGCTGACGGGAAGCAAGACCAGTTTCTGAAAATGGCTACGATGTCATCGCCTGCAAATGAGCAGTCTGTGAAGGTTGAGACTTTTGCGGGATGTGAATCAATCTGCTTAAATAATTGCTCTTGCACCGCTTATGCTTATAATAGCAGTGGATGTTCAATTTGGATCGGAGAACTCTTCAATCTGCAACAACTCACCTCAAGTGATAGTCAGGGAATAACTTTGTACCTCAGACTTGCAGCTTCCGAGTTTAAGAGTCCTAAAAGCAATAAGGGATTGATTGTTGGTGTTGTGGCAGGCTCAGCTGCTGGAATAGCAATTCTCTTAGGCCTTATTGTGGTTGTAATCTTGAGACAAAGGAAGAGAGTGACTGGAATGGGAAAAGCAGTAGAGGGTTCATTGGTGGCCTTTGGGTACAGAGATCTGCAAGATGCAACAAAGAACTTCTCAGAAAAATTGGGGGGAGGAGGCTTTGGTTCTGTTTTCAAAGGGACCCTGCCTGATTCATCTGTCATAGCAGTAAAGAAGCTTGAAAGTGTCAGCCAAGGAGAGAAGCAATTCAGAACTGAAGTGAGCACAATAGGGACAATTCAACATGTCAATCTTGTCCGGCTTCGCGGGTTCTGCTCTGAAGGTACAAAAAGGATGTTGGTCTATGATTACATGCCGAATGGATCACTGGATTCTCAGCTTTTCCATGATATGCGTCCAAATGTTTTGGATTGGAAAACAAGGTACCAAATTGCTCTGGGGACAGCAAGAGGGTTGGCTTATCTTCATGAGAAATGCAGAGATTGCATCATACATTGTGACATAAAGCCAGAAAACATTCTTTTAGATACTGAACTTGGTCCAAAAGTGGCAGACTTTGGCCTTGCAAAGCTTGTTGGAAGAGAGTTCAGCAGTGTCCTGACAACCATGAGAGGCACTAGCCAGATAAGCACTGCAGAAACTGATGTGCTGAGCCTATTAGACCCCAGGCTAGATGGAAATGCTGATGTACAAGAGCTCACAAGGATTTGTAGGGTTGCTTGCTGGTGTGTTCAAGATGATGAGGCTCATAGGCCATCAATGGGCCAGGTGGTGCAAATCCTTGAGGGAGTTTCAGATGTCAACTTGCCACCAATACCAAGGTCTCTCCATGTCCTTGGAGACGACCAGGAGCACATAATCTTCTTCACTGAGTCATCCTCAAGCCAGAGTTCACATCAAAGGAGCAATAACAATTCAACCAAGAGCACCACATCTTCAACCATCTCCAAGAGATATGAAGAAGAGCATCCAATAAACACTTGATGTGCCTTTTCCATTTGGTCATTTGGTTTCAGCCTTCTAAGTAATTGTCATATGTATTATATATTTTTATATAGCTTCTTTTGATTTGGTATGATAATTGTATTATTGTTTATATATATATATATTCCAAGAGCCTTGCTTCAGAACAAAGTCTTTGGAGATAAAATTTCTGTTTCTATTTGAAAACTTTCATTTGCACAAATGAAAATTGGACCGAAAACTATAATTGAACCATCGTTGAGTGAGTTTCAATTGAACCATATAAATTGACGATTTAATGGCTAGACTAAAATGTAATCAAAATGAGAGTTTTTCACTCTTGAGATATGCTCTTATTTAGTGAGATTAAATATTTGAAGGTTGCCCTTCATGAAAAAGATTAGAGAAAAATTAAGGAAGTTTGATAAAAGAATTGCAAGATTGTGCCATCATTCTTTATTCATCCACATAAAATGGATAGAGCAAAAACGACAGCGTAGCAAACATACAAAGCCAAACTCATGAACAGTTAGAGGTGTCAAACGGGACGGGCCGGCCCAGCACGGCACGAGCCCAGCCCATTTAAATGAGGCACGGCACGGCACGAGCACGAATATTAATGG